CAGACCGGCGAGGGACGGGGTGCAGCGGAAGGCGCCGAAGAGGACACCGCCGCCAAACACCACCGAGACTGCTCCAGCGAAGGAAATAATATGGCGGCAAGCATGCCGGCTCCTCTTTCCTCTGCGCCCACAACGAACGCGCCGGAGAACAGTGTGGGAACTGACGCCTGCTTCCATGACACCCATCTGCATGCCCTGCCACTGCTTGTTCTGGCTGCACTCACCTACGGGACACTGGGCTGAAGAACTGTATGCGGGCTATAAGTGCCAGCACTCAACCACGGGATGTTTTGAGCTTCTTTTTTTTTTTTTTGCGTAATAAGTAATAGAAAATAATGATTGTGTGCTCTCTTTATTTGCTTCAGCTGCGCTGCTTTGTGCTCCATGTTGCTGCTCCGTGTATCCGTCACTTGGCACGCATCCCAGACACACTCGTATGCACGACACGCCCACAACTGTTTGCGTGGACGCATTTTTGTGTGAGAATGCATGCACGCTGGAGTCATTCGTTGCAGCTTCTTGTGTTTTGTGTTTTGTGTGTGTTTACTTATTTTTACTTTTTTTTTATGTTGTTGTTTTGTTGTTGCTTGTTTTTTGTGTTCATTTTGCTTGTTTTTTACTTCCTTCGGGGCGTTGTGAGTTTTTCTTTTTTAATGGTTTGTTTTCTTTAATTTTTTCTTTTTATTTTGTTTACTAATCTTTTGCTTCACACATCCTTCCTTTTCTTTTGGGGGCAATCACTGTGGACGTTTTTTTCTTTTCTACTCTTCCCTCTTTTAATTGTTTCTTCTGCACTCTTCCTGTGAGGGGTGCCGTGTGTTTCCCGCCCAACCGCTCCACTCGCACACCCACCGACACGCTCATGACGACGGCCCTGTGCGCCTCGCCTGCTGCACGCATGAGGAGGGGCCGCGACGAACGGCGCGCTGAGGGAGCCGTGACGTGTGGGCGTGCGACGAGGGCCTGTGGGGCGGAGCACACATTTCTTTCCCTCTTGTTTTGCTTTCTTTGCGGCCAGGGCGGGCAGACACCCGCAGCGCCACACACACAGCCACACCCTGCCGCCGTGTTTTGTTTTCTTTTTTTGCTTTTGTGGATGGGTGTGTGCTGCCACCGTGCGTGATTGGTGAGGTTTGGCCGTACCGCAGGTATCGCTGCCATCCAGCTGTGCCTCTTGTTGTGATGATGTGCCTCCCTGTGCTCCTCTTCTTTTCTGCTCTTCCAGCAAACACACATAAGTATTTGCGCAGTGCACTGCAGGAATGCTCTTTGAGGCGGCTGCACGTTGGCTTGCGTGTCCCGTGCTGAAATGATGCCCGCCATGCGTGAAGGTGCTGCCTGTTCTTGGGATTCTCCCCTCTTCGTTTTTGCACTGCTGGTTGCGGACGTTCCTCGGTGTGTGATGACGCGTGACGGACGGTGCCACGATGGTCTCCTCTGGCGATGAAAATCGGTGTGCTCTCGGCACACACCCACACACTCTTCGTTGTCTCTTTGTGGGAGTGGTTGCGTCAGTAGCGTGACCTACGGCAGATGCCGCTGACGGTGCTGCGGAGGAAGAGAACGATGCGCTGAGGAAGAAGAAGCCGGAGCAGTTGGACGAGGCGCCGCCGAGTCTGTTTGTGCTGGACGCGTTGAAGTGCGAGTACAGGCACACGAACAACCGGACGGTTGCTGCGCCGTACTTTTTCCAGCACTCCGGCGCCGGCAGCTATACGGACGTTGTCGC